ACCCGGGCTCGGCCGCGGAGCGCCGCCTCTCACGGCGGCCCGTGAGCCGCTTCTCGTTTCGGTGCTTTTTTGTGTATTTTTTTTCCTCTAGTTTTAACGCTTCTTTTAAAACTTTCCCATTCCAAATGTTATCTTTACAGCCTTTACATCTCCTGCAGGGTTTGCAGAGGACTCTCCTGCAGCTTGTTTATTTACCTCCACCATGCTCCCTTTGCAGACAGGCTGCGGGTATACTAGTCACCATAACATGGTTTTGCATGGTAGGTAAAGGCTTTGTAATAGAGCAAGAGGAAGACAGCAGAAATCCTATCTGCATCCTTGAAAATTGTCAGTGGCTATTAATACTATTGTTAGTAAGACTACATCATGAAAACAACCAGAGAAAACCACTGTTGTCTCGTTTTTGTTTTTGTTTTTTTTTAATGTTACGGACTCAGAAGGCTAAGAGGACCTCTGAGTGACACATGCAGTGAAAAATTGCATGGTCACCACTGAAGTTGTAATAACCTGTGGTGTAGGGCAGAGAATCTAGCTTTCCACCTGAACTGCAGTCCCAGAGTGCAGTGCGCTGAGCTGTCAGCGTGGTGTGGGCTGCCAGCTTCCCAGGGAGGACCAAGATGACTCGTGCGAGGGCCAGAGTGCAGTATTTTCCCTTCCTTTGCTAGCTATTCTCAAATCCCAGTTTTTCACCCCAGACCGTAGGTGAGTACATCAGGGATGCTGGCCTGGTGCCTCCACTGGATCCTGCAGTCTGCCCTAACTCTGTGCCATTAATTTGTCTTTCGAAGAACTGAGCAGCATTTGCTTCTCTTTAACAAGGCTGTTAGGGTGCCATCTACCTTTTATCTAGCAGCACAGCTGTTGGAGAAAGTAGGCAATTTGGGGGAAGTGCAGGAGCCCAACTGTAGGCCCTCTGGGACTCCAAGAGGGACTCGAGATATGCCTACAAATGTAGGCACTTCCAGACTCCAGAGAGATGTGGGAAGGGAAAGGCACTGCAGTTCTGAAGTTTAGTGCCTAAAATATAACTTGGGCTGACTTGTCCCTATTGACTTCATCCATTCTCTCCTGAAAGTTATAAATGAGGCAGCAGATGGCTAAAAACGTATATTCAAGGGTAGTAAAACTAACAGATGTGAACTGCGAGAGTAATGTCTAAAACACGGAAACACTGCAGTTGAATAAACTGACAAACTGGTGTTTATCTTTTAGTTTACTGCCAAAGTCTCTCATAGGAGCATCAGCAAAATGAGAGTGGATTTACTGTTGTTGTTGTTACTTTAACATGACAGACATGTTTTTGCCTCAGTTTTTCCATAACTCCATTATTCTTAGTTCAATTTCATTAATTTGCTTCTCATTCCCATAAGTGGTGGTACAGAATGTTTTCTGCAGAGACATAATGCAAATTAAATATTTTCCCAATTATTTTAATTAAGCGCTATTATATTTTTATTATTCTTTTGTCTTTTTCATAGTAAGCACTTAAAATGTCTACAGTTCATTGATACTTGCTTTTACTCTGGTCTGTGTATGCTGGAAGACAAATAGTGATCTTGAGAGTCCTGCAGGTTCTCCAAAGAGAAGTATGGTACTAGTCTTGAAAAACATGTTTAAATTCAGAACAGCTAATCTAAACATAAACATTTTATTTTTTCAATCTGTGTAGCTTAGACGCTTATAATTAACCCCACTAAGCTATGAATGAAGTGCGTTTTGTGAGCTCTTTTTCACCAGGAAGAAACTTGGTCACAACAGGTAGTGCAATGTCTGTATTGCAGACACTGTTCACCCTAAGTTTTTGCCTGATGAAGCTAGGTTAATGTTGAGTCTGCCTTCCTGTAGCCTTCTGTCGCTCTTAACAATACCACTTGAAAGGGGTCACCAATGGCAAGCATGTCAATTTCAGATGATTGCTCAAAGGTTCTGCAGCCTGCCTCAAGAGAAGCAAGCAGCTTAGCGTCCCTACAGAACAAGTCTGTTGTACATCATTAATATCTTACCCTCTGAGAGACAAATTGTTTTTTATCCTTTGTCCCATCAAATATAAGTAAGTATACACAGACATAGAAAATATGTATTTCAGTTGACTAGCTTTTGTGGGGAGGATGGACTGTCAAACTAAAGCATGTTAGGGGAATGTATTTCTTGATGCTCCTAGGTTACGAGAAGGCAATAATGCTTCTTCATAAGTTCGGAACCTGGTTTTATTAATTCATGCCAATTATAGATGTACTGCTAGAGGCAATAACTAAAACAGAAAACAGAATTTCTTTGCAACATCTCTGAAGAAAGCATGGGGATTTAAAAATGCATATACATAGTCAAAGCATATCTATGCAAGAGATTAATTCTGCAGAGGAGCATTAGGGATCACAAACTCTAGAGCAGGAGTATGTGGACTTATAAATACATGTCTTAACAAAACGCTTGTTGTCAGCTCTGCAGCATTTTCTTTGTGTAAGCAAGTCTGTAGCATTAACTGTGTTTTTTTTCTCCAACTGATTGTAATTCTACCATAGTTTTTAACCGAAATACTGGCTAGTAGAACTGTTTTTTGATTAAGCCAAAATAATACTTTTTATAAACAAAGTGGGTAGAAATTAGATTTTCTTTTGTTCCATTAAAAGTATTCTGGTGATGTGTGCTTTGGAGTGCAAGCCTGAAACTTAGAATCCAGGTGTCACTAATATCAGGTGTGCTAAAATAATCCCCACGAAGGTCTGCCCAAACTTAGCTAGGGTTCACAAAGCAACTTGCATGCCCTCAGTTGACAGACTTGTTAGAACTTTGTAACTGCAATATGTAAAGCTTATCTATGCTTAGTATATCCTGTGCCTGAACCAAATTTTTCCTGTAGTTGCAACCCTGATTTGATAAGTATTCTTACTTAAGTATATTGCTATAAATGTTAACCTGCACACTGCATTAGACTTTTGGTGGAAAGGGTGAGTATAATTAACTTAAATCCTTGTGCCACTGTACTACCAGAGGAAAAAATCTCTTTACTAGTGTATACTATTTTACATTTTGTGCAATGTGTCCCTTTTGTTCTTTCATTAGCTTATGTTTATGCTAAGCTTTTTATGACTTAATTACACTGAAGAGTTTCAGTACTGGTTCAATTATTTAAAAAGAAAATAGGTTTCAGTCCAGAAAAGATAACTGTAGAAATGAAAATCTATAGTTACTACTCTTATTGTCTCCTGCTATGTATATTGAAGGGATCTGATTTCAGGAAGAACAGCAAAGGACCTAATGACAGTCAGATGAAGCTAAAAAGCAAGAAATATAAATCAAATACAAAGGAATACAGTTGTCACTGTGATGTGTACTGCCATGGGGGTTAATTTGTAGCATCAGCACTTGAGTCAAAGTAGACTGGCCAAAGCTTTGACCTGATGTTTATGCAGTTCTGCACTGGGTAGTACTGGGGTGCCATATCTAGTTGAAGTGCTGGCAAAAACATTCTTGAAGATAAACCGCTAGAGAGCATAACAGTAACTTCTTTCTGTATCCTACTCTATGTACTCCCTTCCTTCATAGAATAAATTTTAGGCTGTAGCAACCACTATTAATACAACAGATATCCTATAGCATTGTTCCAGTTTTGCCTGTCACCTAGTCACAATGCTTGCAAACGCAGCTTGAAACTGCTCTTCACATCTTCTGAAAGAATCTTTCCTATGTGCAGGGAAAAAAATCGGCCAGAAGGTGGAGTATCTGTCAGTGTTACAGGACATTAGACTGATGCTACAGAAGATGATGGCTGAGCCCTATTTTTAGCTTGGCCTTCTCTTGTATGTGGGGTTTTCATAAAGCAGCTGCACCAAATACGGCAGGACTTGTTTTGTTAATTTATTTTTTTAAGTTTATATGTTGGATTACAAAGTAGGGAAAATGGCAAATACTTCCTTAAACAACTTCTGCATAAGATGATCCAAATCACTGGCTAACTATTTTCGTTGTCCCTATTAGATACTGGCTATCTCAGAGACAAAAGTAGACTTCTGCATGTGTACTCTGAATTCCTTTAAGCTTATACCTCAGCCATCTTACCCTTAAAATACAGGCTTTTGCATTTCCTTTAGTGGGTTATGATTGCAGACCAGTCTATTTCAGAAAGAGAACAGCATGTTTCCTCCTGTGCTCTTGAAATGTTGTGGGTTATACCATCTATGCTGACATGATGCTTTTTTATCCTCCTATCACTTGTGCCTGTTTATGTGGTGAGCTCCCTAACCAAGCAAGGAGCATCTGCTCTGAATGACTGTTTCATGTAACTTGGAAACAAGCTAACTGCAAAAAAGGGGTTTCTGTGGCTCTTGCAGGTGGGTGGGCTTTTTTTGTTTGTTTGTTTTTTGTTCAACAGCTATTCTTCCCCTTCCTTCCCATAAGACTTAAGGAAATAAGTAATACGAATTCACAGCTAGTTACCACAAAAATGTAGCAATTCTGTGTCTGTAGGGGTCTCAACTGAACTGCTAATATATGTGGCTAGAAATATGTTTGCGGAGCAGTGCGCCATAACATTACTTGAGTCTGCAAGAAGAATTCATACAAAAGATTGTGGAGTGTGATTCAGAACAGCTGTATTGATGCAAACTAAGGTTCCAACTAGGATCCAATACCTTTCTTCAGAAAGTGGTCAAAAGTAGATGCCTAAGGAGGGATAATAAGAACACGGGAAGCATATATGATACTTCCCCTTATTGTCCTCCCAGATTTCAATCCTTTTCCGCTTGGGCTTCCTGAGCTGTGGATTTGATTTCTAGGAATATCTTGACTAGCCTAAACCATTGTGAAAAATGCTGCAGATTCTAAAAGTTTGGTAAGGAGACCACAGCTCAGCTATCCCCTGCATTCCGAACCTCCCCTTTTGTTTGAATGTGGCTGCTACTGTTTCATTTGATGTCCTATGTCCTTCGTTTGATGTTTTCATTTGATGCTCTTGTATTTGGAAGAGAGTGAGCCATTATTCCCTGTCCATTCTCTTCATGACACATTTTCCAAATGCCTGGCATATCTTTTCTCTTTCATTTGCATCTCCCCCGGACTGATGAATTCTAGCTTACTTTGCCGCTCTTTGAATGGAAATCATTGCACATCCTCGTTGCTGTTCTTCGGACTCCTTCCAGTTCCACTGTCATCTTGTTAAGATGGAAGGGGGGGAAGCAAACTTCAAGACATGGATGAATAATAGATTTATAAATGGCATACTACTATCTTGTTTTTTGGTCTCTAGACTTGCTGATATTTG